TTGAAGCTATTTTTATTATTTCAAAAATAGGTTACAGTATTTAACTTTAAGTCATTACATTGACTTGAAATATCGGGTTGTTACATGCTGTGAAGGGGTGACGTGACTTAATCTGGACCATTGGTTCCTCCGCAAGCCTTGCCACTAGATGGTGACACTTGGCACTCAACTCGACGAGTTGGAGGCTCAAACTCGATGAGTTGGGTCATTTTTCAGCCTATAAATACCATGCAAAGCTCACCTTTTTTACTCATACCATAACCTTTCTCTTTGTCTCTCTCTAACTTCTCTCTAAAACCCTCCCAAAACCCTAGTAACTTCTAAGTGCTAGAGGAAAGCCTCAGAGCGCCCGAAGGCTCCGAGAAAAATAGATTTTTGGCTCAAAATTTTTGCCCCCGCAGAGCCCGGTTCCTAGCCAAACCTCCGGGTAAGTGAGATATGTTTACCGTACTTTAAGTATAGCTTATGTTTAAGTTCAATATATATATATATATATATATATATATATATATATATATATATATATATATATATATATATATATATATATATATATATATTATAAAATATAATATACAAAGTGTTATTATAATATCTTTTAACTACTCGCGATATAGGGAATCTGGTTTGAAGGGTTGCATATGGTTGTTGGATTTCAAAACAGCTTAAATGCTAAACTGGTCCTGCCCTCCGGTGTTTCATGTTTGACCCCTGTCTGTACATAGTGGTTGAAAAGTATTGTTTAACACTTATAAAAAAATATCGCTCGTAAATAGTCGTGATAAATATTAGACTAAAATCTAGTGGTAATGATACTAGGTTTCGTCGAAGGAAAATAGAATCGTTAGATACTAAGCGCTACTCGAGTTTGGAATCATCACTTTAGCAAGTGAGTGCATAGTTATTTTCATCTTACATATAGATATGAAGTATTTAATATAAATTACGTGTTATGTGTGCATATTATCTGTGTTCTAGATATCTATGTTACTTTCATAGATATTTTATTCGATTTAAACTGTATATGTAATTTATACTTATATTTATAATGGGTAAAAATGGGTAGATGAAAGATAAGAGATGAAAGATGATATAGATGAGGAGAGATGAAGAACGATGATGAGAGGTGAGAGATGATGAGAATCCTTGACCCCAAGCGTTGGCTCAGTCATTTAGCAGGGTATAGATGACAACATAAGATATTCTAGACAGTCCGACGGAACACTAGCAAGCTCGCAACCTATAGGTGTTGTGAATGATGTGTTCACCAGATGTACTCTAAAAACCGTGGCAACTATGGACTTAGTGCCTCATAAATTAACATTGGCAGGTATGGACTTAGTGCCTTACAAATGAACGTTGGTAGCTATGGATTTAGTACCCTAGAGATGAACATTAGGAGCTATGGATTTAGTACCCTACATTGACAGCGATGAACTTAGTGTCTAATAGATAACATTAACAACTATGAACTTAGTGCTTGTTAAATAAACCATGACAGATGGACTTCTTGTCTATTTATTAGGACAATACTTAGGAATGAATAAGTGAATGATAGATAGTTCTTAGGGTAGATATTTAAGAAATGAAGAATATTATGGAGATGGGTAATTGGGTTAGTTGTTTTCTGATGAAACCTAATAACTTTATTATTGTGGGTTGAAAACCTTATGTCAGTCTAGAATGTACGACCGAAATCCAATCTCAACCTACCACATTAGTCAGAATGCATATTACTTCTCCGAAATACATTATTTGGAAGAAGGTGGTCATTTTTGAGAAAAAAAAAAGTTAATTATTATTATTAAAATGTCTTATCTACAATTTCCATTAAAAGAAAATTAATGACGATAACAATGAACAACTATACCAGATTTGGAATACACGCTAGTTGAAGCTAATACTGGGGTTAGTATCTGCATAATTGAAACTTGTTAGGGGTTTAATATGCGATATAATGAAACTTGTAGGGGGTATGATGTAATCTTCCTTAATCAAGACTGATAAGCCACCGACAAATGGATCTCCGTCCAGCCCACAGCAGCCTTTCAAGTTTCATCCCCAAGTTCTCATGTTAAACAAGATGGTCAAAAGTCAAAACACTTGAATTTGGAAGTCTTTATATATTAAATTCAGGTTTGAATTATTTTTAATTTAGCTAAAGTGATATTCTTCTTAGTTGTTAGTAATAAAATAAGTGTATTTTGTATACATGTTAATCTGGTTAGACATTATTGTGTTTTCATATAAAATAAAAATATATTTGAAATGTTCGTCCACCGATAAGGGTATTATTTTTTATTGTTGTTATATACTCTTATTTGATAATTAAACTAGTTATAATAGTTGTGTGTTAACAAAATTACATTTAAATTGATAGACACAAAATAAATACTTTGTTATGTTATATATGCATATTTTTAAGTGAAAGACATTCAAGATTTTTTATTTAAGGGATATCTTATTTAAAATATTACTAATTTAGAATCCATAATTATTTTATACATACAATCAAATTTTTTTACAATAAGAGAGGGAATCCAAGAGGAGAAAGAAAGAGATACTTATATCTTATCATCTGATAAATATGAAAATGAGTTAGAAAGATTTAATATTTTTGATTTTGATATTTAATATTTTTGATTTTGATACTTTTACACCTTTTAAAATATATGCCGTAAACCTCACGATGAAAAAAAAAATGTCGCAGGATTTATGATTTATCGACTTTGACCATCATATGAAACACGCTCGTGGGCTCGTTTGACCATTTTGGAAGCTTATTTTATTTCTACTAACGTTCACCGTCCCTCGTTCCATTCTATAGTTTTTGTCGACCATAAAATTAAAACTTACATGTTGTAACTTTTATGATTCTTTTATTATTATTATTATATTCAGAAACTCAAATAAGTTGATTTTATAATCTTACAAACTAATAGTAATTTTGCAATATTATTTGTTGCATGAGGGCTTTGAGGAGCACCCTTAGGCTAAATGGTGTGGACAAAATGATGTTACTGGCATCCGATGTAGCTTTGAATGTCATTGGCATGCACCGATGCACCATCTCACAACAATCACATCCTTGACCACTTGTTTTTCTCATGTTATTTTTCTTCTTTTATTTGGAATTTGTTTTCTTCTTGGTGTGATATGATCCTTCCGATTCCGAGTTGCATGGAAGAGTTCTTGTTGTGCTTAAAAGCCCCATCTATTGGTAAAAAGCGGAATAAGCTTTTTTTGATATACGGTTTTGTGGTTCATTTGGAAGGCGAGAAACCCGTTAGTGTTTAACAACATAAGATGTTCCTCTTTGAGAACGGTGAATAATATCCAATTAGTTGATTTCAATTGGATCAAACATAAATCTTTGTTTAAGTATGGTTGTTGGTTTGATCTATGTATGTTTCCTTTCAATGCTTACACTTTGTAATCTTTATTAGCTACTTGTTAGTTCTTTAATGCATTTGTCATTCCCAAAAAAATTGTATAATTCTTTCTCATCTTCAATGTGTTACCTACTCCTCTCTTTTTATGTTATTTTTTATTTTGAAATTTAAATTAAATGGATGGCCATACCATTCTCAAACAAAGGTATGAGATGGCATGGAATAACATCATACGTGGTAGTTATGTGTCAGCAAATATTGGTGGCATATTCCCTTTAATTTTAACAGGATGATTCGATATTTTAGATTTAATGATTTTGTGAATTGCGATATTTATTTCAAACAAACAACATGTTCCATACTATTATGTAGTTTAGGGATTGTTTGTTAGTTGTTGATTGAGTCAGTATCAGACTGAGTATGACTCAACAATGAATCTGACCGAGTAACAGATACTTTAAAGGAGTCACGACTGAGTTAGAAAATTTTAAATGTGATATCAAACAACCTGAATCTAACTGAAATTGACTCAACCTTTTACCAAACTCGGTAAGTTTATAAGGAATCATTGGTCTTTGACTTTCAAAGACTTTAGTGGGGGTTAAAAGGATGAGTCAAGCCATGGCTACGGATGCAAAGACATGAGGTTTGTGATTAAACGTTGCATAGAATTAAGGAGCTCTTTGTATTTTGCAGGGTTCAGATTGGACCGGCCAGATCCTTGTCGACTTTAGTAGGGATTAAAAGGACGAGCCATGCTTACATGTGTGCCTAACCATGGCTATAGATGCGAGACATGAGGTTTGTGATTTAGGGGCAATTTACATGGAATTGATGAGCTCTTTATATATATATATATATATATATATATATATATATATATATATATATATATATATATATATATATATATATATATATTAAATCCTTATCTTTGTATTAAATAGACAAAAAAAAATCATATATATAACTCATCGAATTAAACCATGTGTTATATCACATATTTTCCCTGAACTCTATACAACATAACATGGCATCATAGTTTCTTTTTAACATGCAGCCTTTCTCATGTAATTTCATCTATTAAATGATGTTTAGATCAGTCTCACAGTACACTCTATCTCATAAAAAACGTGTTCCATAAAATAAATTATAAATGTTTGTCGTCACTTTATATAACCAAAAGTAGGCTGATTTCTTTCAAGTGGTGGCGTAGAATTTGAGGTTAAAGTTAGAACATTACAAAATGCTACCTTTAAAGTAGCTCAAATTATTAATGTATGAATTCAACGTGCCACTTTCTATAAAAATAAATGGAGCACTAATAGGAAATAAACAATTAAAATATTTGCATAGCCAATGCGTACCACATGTTCTGATTGTTATTTATTAAAGCCAATGCCACTCGTCCCCACGTCAATTTTAACGTCTTCCTAGTCAAACGTACAACCATTTGAGGCGTGTACATGTTTTTCTTGTTAACTTGTATTCTTTTGGTCGGTTGAATTGACAATTTTCACCCTCAACTTTCTATATAACCTCAACCTTACCCAAGTTTTAAATATCAAATTCTCAACATTGGAACTTAGATTTGGTCAATAAACAAAAATGGCGACTTCATCTTTAGCTTTCCCTTCTCTCCACAACCTGAATCTTGACGTACCCAATACAAACCCACGTCGACGCGCCACCGCCGTCCGATTGATCACTGCCTCCATCAAAGACTCTGTTCCAGTTCCACCTCTTTCTGCCACCTCCGCCGATGTAGCTCCCACCGTCAGCGGCAACTCCACCACCAATCTCCCTCTCCGGCAAGTCCCTGGCTCCTACGGCATTCCATTCTTTCAACCCCTTAAAGATCGATTTGAGTACTTTTATGGCGCCGGCGGACGGGATGAATTCTTCAAGTCTCGGATTCATAAATTTCAGTCAACGGTGTTTCGTGTCAACATGCCACCTGGTCCGTTCATCGCCAACAACCCGAATGTCGTTGTTCTTCTTGACGCCAAGAGTTTTCCGACGCTGTTTGATGTATCTAAAGTCGAAAAGAAGGATTTGTTCACCGGAACATACATGCCGTCTACTGAACTCACCGGCGGCCACCGTGTCCTCTCGTATCTTGACCCATCGGAGCCCAAGCATGCTCCGCTAAAAAATTTGATATTTTTCATGCTCAAATCTTCCCGAAGCAGAGTTATGCCGGAATTCGAAGCGACATACAGTGAACTCTTCGATGAGCTTGAAGCAGAGTTAGCACAAAAGGGTAAAACTCTTTTCAACGACGCCGGCGAACAAGCAGCCTTCAGGTTTCTTGGTCGGGCGTATTTGGAAACCAACCCGGAAGTAACAAAGATCGGAAAAGATGGTCCGAAGTTGATCGGGTCCTGGGTTTTATTCAATCTCGGACCTTTGCTCCGCCTTGGACTTCCATGGTTCGTAGAGGAACCTCTCCTTCATACTTTCCGGCTGCCTCCTGCCCTGATTAAGAAAAACTATCAGAAACTTTACGAATTCTTCGAATCATCTTCGTCTCCGATCATCGAACAAGCAGAAGCTTTAGGGATTTCAAAAGACGAAGCGGTTCATAACATCTTATTCACAGTTTGTTTCAATACGTTTGGGGGGATCAAGATTTTGTTTCCCAATACACTGAAATGGCTCGGCCGCGCCGGAACTAATTTACATACTCAGTTGGCGGAGGAGATCAGAGGTGCGATCAAAACCCACGGCGGAGGGAAGGTGACCATGGCGGCGATGGAGCAGATGCCCTTGATGAAATCCGTCGTCTACGAATCCCTTCGAATCGAACCACCTGTGGCCTTGCAATACGGGAAAGCTAAACGTGATCTGACAATCGAATCACACGACGCCATTTTTAAAGTGAAAGAAGGGGAAATGTTGTTCGGATACCAGCCATTTGCGACCAAGGATCCCAAAGTGTTTGACCGGGCGGAAGAGTTTGTTCCGGATCGGTTTGTGGGTGACGGCGAGAAGCTTTTGAAGTACGTGACGTGGTCAAACGGACCGGAGACGGAGGGTCCGACGGTGGGAGACAAGCAGTGTGCCGGAAAAGATTTTGTGGTGTTGATTACTCGATTGTTCGTCGTGGAACTCTTCCGCCGGTATGATTCTTTCGATATCGAGGTTGGTGCTTCTCCGTTAGGTGCCAAAATTACATTAACGTCCCTCAAAAGAGCTCGTGTGTGATTTCTTCTTCATGGCATCCGATGAGATCGCCGGTGTTTAGTCTGCAAATTTCCGTCGGTGAGGGTAATTTTGGAAATATTTATTTATTTTTGAAGTCCACGTTTCAGTTTAGTCTACAGCCCAATAGGAAATGAACTGAATATACTTGTTTCAGGAAATATTTACTTACTAGAATTTGTTTCTCTTTGTTTTTTTTGGTATATTTGTTTTTAAATTGGTATGAACTGAATATACCCGTTACAGTTGTTTTAATCGAAAGTTTGATATGATGATGTTTGACAAATTTGTAACGATAAAAATAAATGAAGCTTCTTGAAAATTGAGCATAGAATATGCCAAAGTCACTACACAAAAGAGATCAAATAGTAGGTTATCATTGTGAATCAAACCATATGCAATATTCAGGTGATCATGGGTTCATTTGGGATGGTTTGGAGTAAGATAGAACCCAAACTGTAAAGTATGGTTTTTTTGGGGGTTGAAAACCATCTCGTTTTGGGATTTTTGGAATCGGGTTCTCCGTTTTCTGATTTGAATTCATAGGATTTAGGTTTTTTTGTTTTTCGGGTTTTCTGATTTGAATTCATAGGATTTAGGTTTTTTTGTTTTTCGGGTTCAAACCAGTTCGAGTATGTTAATATAAACCAAATACAATATAATCTAAATGTATAGAATATACTATCAAAGTGCGATTGTTGTAAACAAAAAATCAAAAGATAAAAAACACAGATTTTTGTAAGTAAGGTTAACTTTATAATTCATTGAAATTTGAAGCTATAATTTTCGAATATAAACACATGAACAAAAATGGGAGCAACAAACTCTTGGATTAGGTGTCTAAACGAATAACTATATTTGATATGTATTTGATCCGGTTATAACATGGTCCTTTTTGGTTGTCTTAACCAAAACAACTTGATTGGATGATTAATGGAGAAATAGGTTATTATGGTTTATTAATATATTATATGAATAATATATTAAAAGAGAAATCATATTTAGTTAATTAATATTGGTTAAGAATTAATTAGGAAATTTATTTTGATGGTTAAAAGATATTAATTGAACTTAGGGGACTGGAATTCCAATTATAAGATAATTGGATTTTGGACTGAGGATCCCTAAGGAATGGGATGGACGAAATCAAGGAGGGAAGCTCACCTTGAATTCGTCTAAGGCCTTATTCTGGAAGGTTTTTTAGACTGCTTAAGGCCTAAGCTATCCATTAAGGTTTTGGATGAAACCCTAGCAGCTCACCTATATAAAGGACCCTAGGGATTGCATTTTCCGCTAACACCTTGAACTCTAGAGTCATAGTGCCGATTTTGTGCTACTTCCCCTCTCTCAAAGATCATCCAACTTGCCTTGGTGTTTGTGATCGATTAAAGATCTTACATTTGTGATACTAAAGCTCTCAAAGATTGAAGATTCTTGCTACAATTTAAGGGTAATTATCTAGACTTGATTTAGTTATTGTTTTCAAAATTTTGTATGCTAGAATTAGGGTTCATAAGCTTTGGATGATTTGCATGTACAATTAGAGAAACCTAGATCCAAATCTTTAGGGTTTGCACGTGCACCATAAGATTGATGTAATGCTCAACTCATCAGTGGCATCAGAGCCTATGCTGTTTTCTATTGTATGTGATGCATTGTTTGATCATTCACTGCTTGCAAAATCGAGTTTTCTACCCTTTGACAGTTGAACTCGTCGAGTCACCAAATGAAGTCGACAAGTCAGATGAACTCGACGAGTCCAGTCAGCGACTTGGCGAGTCGAAGAGTTAGAGAGCAGATCTTTCGGGATTTTGGCCTATTTTTGATTGGGATGATTACCAAAAACGTTTTTGATTAAGAAAATCCGATTTTTAATAAATTGATATTATTATCCTTATCAAAATAGAAGATAATTGCTAATTGATTAGATAATTATTACCTTATATGATAACCTTAATTATTTTAATTATTTGATTGCATTATCTTGCCATGAAATTGGATTAGATCAAATTTAGATAATCACTAATTAATTGTTTAATTATATTATTTGTAATTTGATGTAGAAAGTTTTGAAAAGTTTCAAAACTTGCCTTCAAGTTTTGGAATTTAAAATTTTTATTAAAAGTTTAATTTTGAAATATTTAAATTTTAAACCCTAATATTTTACAAGTTTAAAATTCAACCATTATACTGTTATAATATTACAAGATTAATAAATATATATGTATAAGATTAAGTTAGTCGTTAGTAGGTCTCATTCACGAAACCGATCTATAAGAGGGGGGGGGGGGGGGGTATATGGTTGTTGCCTATAAAATGAAAGTTTAATTGGTGTTCACTCTCACCCACCGCTTCCTTGATTGGTGGAGGGTCGTTAGCCGAACGGGTAGAATAGGACAACTAATTCCTCATTAAAAGTATAATGATTGTATAAAAGTAACTAAATGTTTTTATAAAATCTCTAATCTTAGTTACTTTAGGAAAAATGTAAAAATGATGATATTCCATGAAATTACACTTTACACCATTGCCAAGTCGTTAGTGGAGCATTTGTGGATAACTGACACACTAATTTGGGACTAGCAAAGGTGTCACATCCTAAAAATTCACGCAAAATTTAAACTTTTTCAATCATAATAAAATCAAATAGTATTTGTTTACAAGATGTTTTCAAATCTTTATTCATCAGTGTCCCAATAACTAGATCAAGGATGAGCAACGGTACGATCACGACTTCGCCTTGCCATGATCTCCTAAAGTACCTAAAACAATAAACTGAAAACTGTAAGCCCGAGAGCATGGTGAGCTAGCAGGTCACTAACATGCCAATCCCTACGAATCATAAGAGCATAATATACTATTTATCCTAATTTCGATCTAACAGATCATAATCACATGTATCGCATCATAACAATAACAACTTAAGGTCCGACCTTGGTGTCCTAGACCCTATTGATATAGTGAGGATAACTCACCTTGCAAATGTCAACTCGGTAGATGAACTCCAACTCTCAGATCACTGTTAAAAACTCCACCACCTATTACCATAATATAATTATACCTATAAGTTCCCAACCTTTCAAGGTACCCCAAAAGCCAACTAATCATACCCTGGTCACAATCAAAGTCATCAATCAAGGTTAATAGTCCATGTTTACCCTAACTCGCCGAGTACCCTCAGCTACTCGCCGAGTACCCTCAGCTACTCGCCGAGTTCCTTGAAGTACTTGCCCACTCGCCGTGTCACGGAGTGACTCGTTGAGTTCCTTTGGCTTACGATTGAACTCTAAGGCCACTCGTTAAGTTTCCTTCTTGCAACTTGATGTTACACCCGTATACATAAATGTGGGGGAAACTTAACCGAATCGCTGAGTTGTTCATCCTACTCGTCGAGTCTACGGAAATCTTCATCAGACTCACTGAGTTGTTCATCCAACTCGTAGAGTTCAATGCTTATCTTCATCCGACTTGCCGAGTACCTTAAATCCTTCGTCTATACATAAGCTTTTTAAGTCATGCAAAGGCTCCAGACTGTATATCTATGCTTCTAGAGCATGATTATCACGTAAAGTTGCAAACTTTACGTGCATGCAGGATTATATGACCCAAAACAAGCTAAAGGAGTGGCTTAAGGCAATGGGATAGATTATAGCTTGGCAAATACTAAACTTTATGATAAAGAGAGGCTAAAGAAGCCCAGATCTGAGGTTGCAACCTCATATCTTGACCCAACATAGAGAATCACCACCAAAACCCTTAAAAGGGCTCTAAACCCAACCATGAGGGGTTCTAGTCAAAGGAGAGTCAAGGTAATAACTTGTTACCTTCAAAATGATGCCAAACCAAGAGGAATTTGGATCTACAACAATCACTAGCTCCAACTTCTTGAACTTCAAGCTCTTAACTCCCAAAGGATCTTCCTTTAAGGTAGACAGCCCACACAAAAGAGGGTAAACACGAGTTAGGGCTTCTAGATTCATGAAAGGCAGTAAGAGGGGCTAGGGAGAATAAGTGGTCTTTAAATAGGGTGCCAAAACCCCGAGATTTAGGGTTTCATCTGCCAACTCCTACTCGTCGAGTCCCCCATTGGACTCGGCGAGTAGGCCACTAAATTCGCGAACCAACTCGCCTCTACTCGACGAGTGGGGCAACCAACTCGTCAAGTAGACCTTGAAAACAAAAGAATTCTGATTTAAATCAATAATTGAGATTCGAGGTGTTGCAACTCTCCCCCACTTGAATTAGACTTCGCCCTCGAAGTCCGGTGCAATAAACAATGTCGGGTAATGCTCTCACATTTCCGCCTCCGGCTCCCGTGTCCTCTCGGATCCCCTCTGATGTTCCCACTGCACCTTCACCAAATGTATTTCTTTGTTCCGTAAAATTTTATTTTTCTTCTCCAAGATGGCCACAGTCCTTTGCACGTAGTTCTGGCGCTCATCGACCTGAATATCATCTAGTGATACTACCGCCTCCTGGTCCATAATGCACTTTCGCAACTGCGAAACATGGAACGTGCTGTGAATTCGGATGGGCTCCTCCGGTAGCTCTAGCCTATAAGCCGCTTTGCCAACCCTGGCAATGATCCTGAATGACCCTATTACAAGACTACCTCCGTCCGACCTATCACTCTATGTCCAACCTCACCCCAACAAACTGGGGTTCTACATCTCCGACCATACAACAGCTCAAAAGGCGGGGCGCCAATACTGAAATGATAGTTGTTGTTGTAGGCGAACTCTGCAAGCGGTAGGTGGGAATCCCAACTCCCACCGAAGTCAATGACGCACGCCCTTAACATATATTTGAGGGTATGAATGGTTCGCTCACTCTGTCCATCGGTCTGCGGATGGAACGTTGTACCAAAGTGCATCCGCGTACCCAGTTCCTCATTGAACTTTTTCCAAAAACGGGAAGTAAACCAGACATCCCGATCGGAAACGATGGAGACTGGAACTCCATGGCGAGAGATAATCTCGCTGACGTACATATCGGCCAATTTC